TCTCTCTACAAAGATGAAAAAACAAGACGAAATCTTGAGCGTTCAAACATGAGAGGAGGGAATGGGAGGGGAAAAATAAAGCGGAGAGAATCATTTTCCAACCTTTATATACATGTGGAAGTGACCATTTAAAAAAGCGCTTATGTTTCTTTCTCTTTTCCCCGAACAGTAAATAGTTGTGTCTCTTCATATTAAAAATGCAAAGATCATATATAATCAAATAATTTAATTCATTTTGAAATAAATTTTTCAATAGTAAATATGACGAATTAATTTCATTAACACTTCCTAAGGTTTATCCTGTTTTAACAAAATCCCATCACGTTTGATAAATAACAATAACAACCCCTGAGGTTTTAATTTTTTGGAATCCTATTCATGGATTTCCCCATTTTATGTTTTGTATTTGTTACAATGCGTTTATATTTACGATGTAAATTTTTTTTGAAATTTGTAAAAACACGAAAATGGCATTGTTGGGCTAAATGGAATTTTACGTGGACTTTTTCTATGCTTTCTTGTTTTGCCATTTTTTCGAATATTTGGATGGGACGTGTCGATATGAACGCATGAGAACAAGCAGAACACAATTCAGAATGAGAACGAAGATTCTACGAGGTTCAAAAGTCAAGAGCATTTTAGTAATTTTACTTTATTTGGGCACATATGGCTTGTCTTTTCTCTCTCTGTGTGTGTCACGTAGGGCCCAACCCATTTCTTTGGAACACTCTCTCTTTTTTCTTGCCCAGTTTCACTCTCTTGGGAGAACTCTTTCGACTCCCTCTTTATTCTTATTTGCCTCACCCCCATGAACCCAGTGATGGGTTTTGTTTCTTGAAAATCAGGACAAAAACCAAGGAATCATGAGTTTGAAACGGACCAAGGTTTCCCAACGAGATTCAAGCCATCTTCGGCCACCATTTGTCTTATAAGTAGGTATGAACTTGTTCTTCTCATCTCTAGCTTCATTTTCATATAAAGATTGTCAAATTTGGTGAAGAATTGAAGAAATTATAAGCTTTCAAAGATTTCCTAGAGAGCTAACAATAAAATCTAGATTCTGGCAATTGTGACCACGACAGAAGGCCCAGCGACCGAGGAGAGGAAGAAGACAGGGTATATTTCGTTAACGACGTTAAGTAACAATTACTATTTTGTTTATTTTAATAGAATATTCCCTTATAACCCAACCCGCGTAGTGCGAGTGGAATGGCGGGTGATGACGCGCTTGCGGTGGCCCTTGTGGCAGCCACCTAGGGCTTAAAATCCAATGTCACGGTCCAATCCCGAGATACGTTTAGGATCGACACGTGACGTCATGAAGTACCTGTACGCCTTTCATGTCTCACTTCCGGGATATGACCAAAACACAATCAATGGTCCCACCACTCAGTAACTTTTCTTTTATTTCATGGTTGCATCTAACCTTTATGTTAGACTGTCTATGTACCTTAAGCAGGGATCAAGCCATTGATTGTTCACCTTTTCATTAAACTTTGAGATTTCTCGTAGTACTTCCTAGTAGAAAATCACTTAGCTTAATAGTACTCAAAGGGATTCAACGAGCATAACTCACTCGATTTTAAAATGCACATGAAAATATTGAAAATACAGTCGAGTTAAGAACTTAACTCTTTCTCTTTAAGATAATTTATGCTCCACTAAGGTACTCATGGTTGATCAAAACTTGCTTCACATGACACAATGACCACATTTTTAATTACGATAGTAGCATTCCAAATCTCAAGTAGGCCTGACAAATAGGTCATGTTTGTTGTGTTCATGTTGTTTTTATGTAACATCTATTATCTTAAAAGGTCGTGTTGTGTCACACCCATTATCTTCACAGATTCTTAACATGTCAGGTCACTTTACCTGTTAAAATTAACGGGTAAAATGACTCGACTCATTTAACCCGTTAAGGAAAAAAATTTATTTTTAAAAATTTGCACAAAACATATTGTCACATAAATATTTCTTCAAAACATAAAAACACATTTGTCATTAAGTACTACATAATCCAAAATAAGAGCCTAATAAAAAAGTATCAAAACACTACTACAAAACATCAAATGTGCCCTTATATGCAGAATAAAGGGGTTTTTTTTTTCAAGGTTGTGGACCCTTTTTTACAAGTTAAAACATTGCCAATAAAACTCAAAGCTTGCATTTTGTTCTTTTTACAAAATCCTTCAATTTTCATCGTTCATGCATCATGGACAAATGGTAGTGAAACTTTGCCTTGATCTATTGTCTTCAAGAGTTATATTGATGACGTTTTCAATAAGGCTTTCCACATCAAAACTCTCTTCCCCATAAACTAAGTCTACAAAAATCAAACATTATAAACCATTCAAATTGTGAGAAGTTTACGAAAAATAATTATGAAAAAGAAATAAAACAATTGTCTTGTATCACATAAATTATACTAACTCCTTTTCCAAATAGGGAATTAGGTTTTGGGTTATGGTAGCAATGGAATCCAGGAAGAAGAAGAAATTGAGCGGGACAGAGAGAAGGCTAAGATAGAATCGAATTAGGAGATAGAATAGAAGGTGAACTTGCGATTAAGAATTAGGTTTTGTGCCTATTCTGCTGCTTTAATTGGAATTTATAATTTAATGGCAGGGATTTAATCTCACAAAAGTGTGATTAAATCCTAGTGCTCTTAAAATTATAATTTTTTTTTTTTAGTGCTACAAAATTATTAAATTAATATTTTCTTATCGTGTTTCGGGTTACCCCATGTGTATACCTATATTGACCTGTTATCGTAACATGTGTTTATTGAGTTACCCGATAATAACCTCATTCGTTATCATGTCAACCCGAAACCTATTAATGTGGTGTCGTTTCGGGTTGGGTTAACGGTCGTGTAAGAAATTGTCAAGCCTATTCTCAAAGACTCACTTAATCTTTAAATGAAAGGGCTCGCATGAAACTATATGACTGAATTAAATTAACTCATTTTCAATTTTCACTTAGGATATTCACATAAAATTTCCACTTAGCCTGCCAGAGGCATTTTCATAATTTCTCACTATCAGAAAATAAAATAAAATAAAATTTGGAACAGGAACAATTCACCCATGAATGTGGTCATTTCACGTTTCTTTCTTAATTAATAGGGCGAATTGTTAATTTAATCCATGAATTATCACCTAAGTAAAAATTAGACCCCTAAGCTATTTTTTTCGGAAAAGTCAGTCATTGAATTATAAAAATCTACCAATTACATTCCTAATATTATATTCAAAGCTACTATATTTAATTTTCCTTCAATTTAAGTTACATTACTTGCATGTGATATACATTGAAGGGTAGATTAGTAATTTTACATAAATAAATAGTGTATGGAGTTAACTTTGGATGGTAAATCAGATGTTAGATTCGTACCTATATGAAATGTTAAGGGTTTATAGGTGAGAAAATAACGGTATTACATTCTAAAGTGTGTCAAGTAACTTAAGTTGACGAAAAATAGGATAAAATAACTTTGAATATAATAGTAGGGATGAAATTGGTAATTTTTAATGAATTTAGGAACCTAATTTTTACTGAAATGATAGTTTATAGACTAAATTGACACCTCACCTTAATTTATATATAAGATGGCCTTTGTCCAAGAACACTTTGAATTTTAGTTACACTCTTTTAAGGTCTTTGTCTGGGAAGACTTTGAATTTTAGTTACACTCTTTTAAGGTCTTTGTCTGGGAAGACTTTGAATTTTAGTTACACCGACAAACTTTGAATACTTTGACTATTTTAAATTTTAGTGACACAGACAAAAACTTTGAATTTTAGTACACTTATAAGTTCTTTGTCCAAGAAAATTTTAAATTTTGTCACACTTTGTGTTGAAGTCTTTGTCTATTATCTTTAAAATAAAAATTTGGAAAGTTTGCAGTGTGAGCATATTCATATTGTCAAACAAATTTGAACTTTAGCTAGGTAATGAAAACAATTGGTACGGCAAAATTTCTCAAAATGAAAATGAAGTATCTGGTGTCAATGGTATATTTAATCACACCAAGAATAAAAAAAATAATTGCAATAATTCAATACATGCAAACTCAATTTTAAAATGAACATGAAATTAATTTTGAAAATACAGTCGAGTTAAGAGCTTGGTTCTTTCTCTTTAAGATAATTTACACTTCATTACGGTGCTCATGATTGATCGGCCTTGTTTCACATGATACAATGACCACGTATTTAACTACAATAGTAGCATTCTAAATCATAAGGCCTTAGCAAATCATGATTGAGTTGAATTCTCTCAAAGACTCACTTAATATCTCACTTTAACTCTAAATAAAAAAGCTAAAAAAAAAAAAAAAATTGTGTCTTGTATGAGTTTTGTACTTGTTTGTTTGACATTAGTGGATTATTTAACTGGCGGTGTGCCATGAAATTTTCCAAATGTGTGTGGGTTTTACCACGTAAAAGAAAAATCATGTGTGTTTCCAAAAATAAATAAATAAATAAAAAGAAGGAAAAATCGTGTGTTCTCATCTTCTTATTTAATATATTTAAGTACTGAATTGCAAGATTGAAACGACTGGGGGTCTAACCGTTTTTAATTGGGCTGTTTATTTGTTGGGTTTTGGTCCCTCAATCCGTCTACATTTTCATAAGCTTATTTTACAAACAATATTCAACACGAATCTACAATAAGGGGAGATAAGAGCGTTTGAACATAGAATGCAACGGGTTGAGCATGATGACCTTAATTGCTAGAGAAATTGACATGTTTCTTGTATTAGTAAATCAATTGATTCTGCACGATCATTTTTATCAGTAACCGGAGTGCTAAAAATTAAAAGAATTATTTATTTTTTTAAATGAAGGGTAATATTGTTATGATGTAATATAATGTTGAATAATGATTTAATTGTAAGCTTAGAAGGATAAACAAACTGATATCGAACAAGAGCATATTGAATTTCAGGAGTCAACCCATTATGATACCATGTAAACTAATAAAATAATGAAAAATTAATTATAAACTATGATTCTTATTCATAGACACAAAATAAAGAAGATTACAATTTGTAGACGACTTTAATCCAAAAGATTACATCTTATCAGAACTTTCGAAATTACAGAAATTATCTTATAAATTATCCCAACATAAAAGTAAACCAAATTACTACTTAGTTGGTACCCCCTCCAGACGGCGTAGTTGGTATTGGTACGCCTACTTTCTTTGCTTTAATAATCTCCATTTGCAAACGCAACTTACTGACCGTCTTCTCTAACTCATCTGCAACGACAAGATCAGGAACTTCATCATTAGTTACCAAACATATATTTGTTAAACAATAATTTAATGTACACATATGTGTATATGAGAGAGAGAGAGATAGAGAGAGAGAGATTTAATGTATACATTAGCTACCGAAAATACATACTGTGTTTTGAATTTTCATAAACATTGGCAAAGACTACTTCAGATGAGAACAATAACAATATAATGATGGGAATCATGTAAACAACGCTAGCCTTGTGAACCATATTGTAGATTGATATACAAGTTTGGCTCCTTATTCGTCCCCATGCAACTACTTATACACACACACACACACACACACACATATATATATATATATATAATGTCTAAGACGCGTTTTAGGTTTTTTATTTTGTGAAAGTAGTTAGCTGACTTACAACAGAGTATTGCATGCTTAATCAAGGGTTGCCCATTAATTAATTATCATTTTCCGAGTCTTCCATTGTTCCATGCAAAGTTTCTTATGTGTGTGTGTGGAAATTTCTTATGCGTGTGATCCCAAGCCATCTAAAAGATGTGTGCTCAATTTCTTCTGTGTTATAAAAGTGGATGACCTATGCACTATCCCATCACTTCCTGTCAGCGAACAATTGTTGAAAATATGCTGCCTACTTTCATATTTCTTGGCTTTAGCACGAACTATATGCTTTCTTTGTTAGAGGCCAATCAGCTCACGAATCCATTGCTTTGTAATTTCATTTTGATAATGAAAGAGATTACTGCTACTGTTCCGAGTACTTAACCACATTTACCAAACCTCATAAATATTTTGTCTTATTTATTTTATGTCCTACTATACACAAATCCTCAATTTCAAGTACATAAAAAAATAGAAGAATAATAATAATAATAGGCCACTTAGTACTGCGATCTACTGATATTCCTTTCACTTGTAAGTGAGAGATTTTAGATTCGATCATCGCTTAAGATAAATTTGAACCAAATTATTGCTAACCTATTATGAAGTTAGACCTGCTATCTCCTTTTAGTATAATAACGTTTGTTTAAAAAAGTAAATAAATAATAATGATGGAAAGTGGAGCAGGTAGAGGTGCCAGTGCAGGTAGTAGAGTCTGCTCTAATTACTTCCAAGACAGACGTATGAACAAATTAATGACGTTGAAGGCACTGGTCTAGCATCAATGTAAGGCCATCTCCAACCGAAGATTGGCTAGAGGGCTCGTTTAAGCCCTCTGACCCTCCAAAAAATTAATATTTTAATGAACAGTGCAGGGCCATATTTCTTTACCATCTCCAACCGAAGGGCCAGAGGATCATAGGCCAAACATAGCCCTGTCAAAAGAAACCATCTCCAACCGAAGCCTAGGGCCAAACATTATTTATTATTTTAATTGAAATATTATGGTTACTTAAATTAAATTACCTCAATAATTTTATGTTATGGATTGTCAATAATTTTCATGTTGTTAAATGTTTTTTAAAATGTTGTTTATATTTCATGTTGTTAAATTATTTTTTTTTATATTGTTTAATGTCACTTAATGTTATTTAATGTTGTTTAATGACTTAGGAAGTTATGGGGAAAAAAATAGAATTTTTAAATTTTGTAAAAAAAAAAAAATTAAAAAAATGAAATATGATGTCATCATGACATCAGCGTGGCCCGGCCCGAGGCCGGTCGGTTGGCCCTTTGGCCTTTCGGCCTGCAGTTCAGCATAGGTAAAATGAGGAGAAAAAAGTATATTAAGTAATGTATACTTTTTTTTAAAAAAAAAAAGAGCGTTCTCTCTCTATCTCTCTAGCTCTATCTAAAACCTTTCATGCTCTCTGTCTTCAAGGAAAAAATCCTCCTAGCCACCACTCTTTGCTCCGGTTTGAGGTTGGTGGTAGCCCAACTCCCACCTCTTTCTAGCTTTCTTTCTCTCTTTCTCTTCTTTCTCCATCCTCTGCATATTCCCTCCATCCTCATTTTCCCCTTCTTCCCCCCTCTTTCATTCTGTCCCATCCATCTCGACTCTTCATCTTTCCTCTTCCCCCTCCTTTCCCTCATCCTTCCCACACCTTTCCACTAACAAAGTTTTTCTTAATTTCTGCACTTTTTTTTTTCTCTTTTGGTCTTTGTTTTGGCTTTTCTTGAGTTTTGTTCTTTTAACTTTGTCTCAATTCCCATGAGCTGGTCTCAGATCTGGACCTTCATGGCCCTCCCTTGCTTCGAAGCTATTATTCATCATGCGTCATCTACTACCAGTCTTTGCTACTTGGTCTGTGTGTTTTTCCTCGGGTGTTGGGTAAATGTTAAACTGCTTTTAGCATTATTGGGTAGGATAAGGGAGTGCTCACTGTGCGGGTGGCTCGCTCACCTCTATTTTCTGTTGATCCTATTGTTCCATTGGTTTGTTCTCTTGGTGGTGGCGGTGGCCTTGCAATGGAAGAGAGTAAGAGAGAACTGAGAGTAGGGAAAAAGGGAGAGAGGGAGAGGTTTATTTTTTTTTTTTTTAAATAAGAATTGTTAAAACCATATCTAGAAACAAAAAACAGCAAAATTTTATTTTGTGAAATTACGTTACTACTCTTAACTTTTTTTGGTGTAGTAGAAGCTTAAATAGTCTTTTCACCCTCTTTTGATTGATAAAGAGGGTTCTATTAATATGTAATTTAGATTAAAATATGAATGGTGCAGTACTATTGCCCTTCTCATAATAACAATCATTATCTTTAAGTTTTGATATTTATGTGAATGGTTCTGTATTAAAGCCCTTATCACAATCATTACATATTAAAAGTAATTTATTTATAGCGGCTGGAATAACCATCATCTATTGTAATTTACCTGGTGTACTACATTTTGTTATGATGAGCATATACCAAGATCCGAAATCCTTTGATCAAGTTAGAACTTGAAGTTCTTGATTCTCATCCTATATTCCTATAAAAAAGATTGGACCTGAAATTCCAGACCCGAACCTTCTTGATCAAAATTGAAACATGAAGTTTCTGAATCAATTGAGAGAACATTAGTTATTTGGTTTAATTGAAATGACGACAACAAGCACCTCTGTCCACATACTAATAAATAAGGGCCAAAAGTTCCTTGATTCATGTAAATGAGGATCATAAATTTCTTAATCTATGTACATAGTAAGTATGACATAAATTCCAAAATTATGAACCTAAATGCTCTAATAATGTGGATATCGAGAATAAATTTCGAGTAAATATGTTTTGACCCTAAGTTTCAAAATATAAATAATGTAAAAAACTTAAAATTCTAATATCATGATCTAGCGGTATTCCTATTCATTAGTAAGTGAGAGTTCATCATTTCAAAACCTAACCTACAAAGAAGGCCCCATTTTACGACGACTAATAATTAACCTCTCAATAATTGCATTAGAAACTAGCAATACTAGTGTATCAATCGTCCCCACTCTCCTTAGTCTTCACCTATCCCTCTGTTTCCCATCTTTATTTTAACTATATATGCACGTATGCATGTTTCACTGCCTTAAGGGGGCCTCCATTGTCCCTCACCTTTGCCTTTTTCACTCCTTTGTTTCTCAAAATATCACTTTCATACTATGTTTCTTCCCTCTTTCCCTCGCCAAATGCTGGCTTCATCTAGGGTTTAGTGAGCAAATATTTCATCCTTTTACTAAAATAACTTGACCTAAAATGACGTCATTTTGGTCAGGCAATATTTAAAAAAATAATAATAATAAGAGTAACTTTTTATATAATGGCGTCGTTTTGGTTAGGCTTTATATTGAAGTCTTCGTCTCGTATTGTGAACATATTCATATTGTCAACAAATACGAATTTTACCTAGGTAATGAAGGCAATTGGTAAGGTAAAAATTTCCCAAAATGATGATGAAGTATTTGGTATCAATGGTATATTTAATCACACCGACAATCAAAAAATAATAGCCATAATTCAATACATACTCTTAGGCAAACTAAATTTTAAAATGCACATGAAGTTCGACCGAAAAAGAATGCACATGAAGTTAATTTTGAACATACAATCAAGTTAAGAACTTGGTTCTTTCTCTTTAAGATAATTTGCGCCCCATTACGGTGTTCATAATTAATCGGGCTGTTTCACAGGATACAATGATCATGCCTTTAATTACGATAATAGCACTTCAAATTATAAGACCTTGGCGAATTATGATTGAGTTGAATTCTTTCAAATACTTACTTAATATATCACTTTTAACTCTAAATGAAAGGGCTCGCATGAAACTATATAATTGGATTAAATTGAATCGTTGACTAATAATTCAATTAGATGAAACCTTTATGGATGGGGATTCTTTCCCCTCCCTCCCTTCATCTCATAGGCTTTTTTTTTTTCTCTCCCTCTCTCTACTTTCTCTCTACGAAGATGAAAAAGTGCATGCATAGATGTTGCTCAAATGAACTTAGTTTTTACAAATATTTCCTTCACCAGGAACTCTAGAGGTGGCCAGCATTTGGATCCCACCAAGCAACGCTCACTCAAGCAAGGTGGGAATGGATTCAGCAAGAAGTAAAGAGAATAACCAACCTCTGGATCACTTCTTAGAGGTTGTATTTTGATGGATCTTGCACTTAACATGCTGCTAGGGTAGATATTGTTATTATTAATCCCAAAGGTGTGAACACAGTTTTTCATTCCTTCTAGATTATCAAGATACTACTAATAATCGAGCAGAGTATGATGCTCTAATAATTGGCCTGGAAATCTTGATAGAGTTGGGAGCAACTGAAATTGAGGTGTTTGGTGACTCAGAGTTGGTGATTAATTAGCTAAATGGAGACTACAAGTGTAAACACATTACTATGGCTGGTTATTACTTGGCAGCCACTCAACTGTTAAGTTATTGGGACACTGAGATTTTAGTCAATTATATTCCTAGGGAATGAAATTTAATTGCCAATGAGATGGCACAGCTGGCCTCTGGAGCGCAGATCCAAGAAAGAAGGTTCGAGGTGAATATGAAAGTACAAAGGAGAAATCTCCCTTCTATCTTTGAAAAAGGGTTCATCCTTTAAATTAGTAGATATGTCGCTTCTTGTACTTTTTAGCATGAATTCAAGTTATTTCCAAATTTTTTGCTGTTTATAAGTATTATTTGCACCCAGACCTAGTTAACTTAACAAATTTGTTTATATTAAGAAGAACCTGGGACCAAAAGCATGGTTTAAAAGGACCTGAACTCCTTCATTTCTGGACATACAAGACTATGAACTAAAAGTCCTTGTTCACAAGGCAAGAAAAAGAACTTTAGGCAAACGTAACTCATCTGCAACAATCCTTTGATAACAAGAAGTTTAGGTAACTTGGGGCGCAAGTAATCGACTTAAAACACACTTGTTCTACATCTACTATACTGAGATAGCAGTGGCACACCAAGCACATTTTTAGTTTTGATTGCGAGCCTTAAGGCCTACACCTAAGGTCCCACAAAGGCACCTTTTAGAACTAACTTCAAGCTCTTATTGCAACACAACAACAAGCAAGAGCTTGACTACCAAACATCAAAATGCCATTCCCTTGGGAAGATGTGCTGAGGTCCATAGGCCTTCTCCAGAGAAATCTTTGCCAGAACAATATGTC